CTAGTCATATAGACTAGACTATAGACTAGACTATAGGACTAGACTATAGACTAGACTATAGACTAGACTATAGACTAGACTATAGACTAGACTATAGACTAGATATAGACTAGGACTATAGACTAGACATAGACTAGACTATAGACTAGACTATAGACTAGACTATAGACTAGACTATAGACTAGACTATAGACTAGACTATAGACTAGACTATAGACTAGACTATAGACTAGACTATAGACTAGACTATAGACTAGACTATAGACTAGACTATAGACTAGACTATAGACTAGACTATAGACTAGACTATAGACTAGACTATAGACTAGACTATAGACTAGACTATAGACTAGACTATAGACTAGACTATAGACTAGACTATAGACTAGACTATAGACTAGACTATAGACTAGACTATAGACTAGACTATAGACTAGACTATAGACTAGACTATAGACTAGACTATAGACTAGACTATAGACTAGACTATAGACTAGACTATAGACTAGACTATAGACTAGACTATAGACTAGACTATAGACTAGACTATAGACTAGACTATAGACTAGACTATAGACTAGACTATAGACTAGACTATAGACTAGACTATAGACTAGACTATAGACTAGACTATAGACTAGACTATAGACTAGACTATAGACTAGACTATAGACTAGACTATAGACTAGACTATAGACTAGACTATAGACTAGACTATAGACTAGACTATAGACTAGACTATAGACTAGACTATAGACTAGACTATAGACTAGACTATAGACTAGACTATAGACTAGACTATAGACTAGACTATAGACTAGACTATAGACTAGATTATAGACTAGACTATAGACTAGACTATAGACTAGACTATAGACTAGACTATAGACTAGACTATAGACTAGACTATAGACTAGACTATAGACTAGACTATAGACTAGACTATAGACTAGACTATAGACTAGACTATAGACTAGACTATAGACTAGACTATAGACTAGACTATAGACTAGACTATAGACTAGACTACAGACTAGACTATAGACTAGACTATAGACTAGACTATAGACTAGACTATAGACTAGACTATAGACTAGACCATAGACTAGACTATAGACTAGACTATAGACTAGACTATAGACTAGACTATAGACTAGACTATAGACTGGACTATAGACTAGACTATAGACTAGACTATAGACTGGACTATAGACTAGACTATAGACTAGACTATAGACTATAGTCTAGACTTGAGTAAAGACGGGTCTGGACTAGAGAGTTTTTCGGTATTTTATTGTAAAAACGTCATAAAGCCCCTAGGGTCGGTTTTTTGGTTAAATTTTTATATATATTTAGTTTATTAACCTCTTTAACTTTTGCTCAATATTTGCAAAAATAGGCATTCATTTATGGGTATGATTGGTTAGTTCTGGTTGCGGTTTTTTTTTTTTTTTTTTTTTGAACTTAAGTTTTCGACTTTTATTAATAATGACTGGTGTTTATGGGCCTTTTTCGCGTGCGTAGCAAAAAGATCTCAATCAATCACTTAGACTGATTGACACATTAATCTATGTATAAAATATAGGTTTTCTTTTTGTTTTGGGTTGTGTTCTTTAACTGGTCCTGCATAAAAAATGAGTTGCTTTTAACTTTCTACGAAACATGAATTAATCTTTTGCGCAAGTAATTAATAAAATGGGGTGTAAGAGAGAGAATAAAGTTTTAAGAAGAATACAAAAAAAAATTTGCATAATCGAATAGGGCGAGAGATGGTAGCTGTAGAAAGAAAGTTAAGAAGTGAGTTACATTTCAGCAAGAAACTGCATGGACTATAGGTTCAGATTTGCTTCAGTCTTGACTATAGTTTATTGTATGTTCAGACTATAAACTATACTATGTTCACACTAAAAGTTATAATATGTTCACACGATGAACCATTGTGTACTCACACTATAAACTATAGCTTGTTCAGACTATAGTGAGCCTAGACTATAGTTTATTAAGACAAGAGACTACAGTTTGTTGAGACTATAGTCTGCCTTAACGATTACCAGTTCAGACTAAACACTTATAGAATATATATGTATGTATATGTATATCAAATGAAACTTATTACGAAGGTGTGTTAAACCATAATCTTTTCCCCTCTTCCATTTTACGCTAAAAATAACAAATTTCTTTTTTACATGATTTCGTTAATAAAATGACACCAAATCTCATAAATATTACACACCATTTTACCAAATTTAATGTTTTTCGATATACATATTTTTTTTTTTTTTTGCTCCTCCAACTTGTGGTTGTTGTATTTAATCATTATGCGTTTAACGCGCTTTCATTAAAGAACATTAAATTAAATGATAAGCAATTCTTTTGCTAGAATAAAGGTTCTTACGAATTGCCTTGGATAAACTGCCTTTCAGCAGTAGCAGTAGCAGTAGCAGCAGCAAATTGCCAGGAAAAGGAAAAGTAGTAAGAAGAAAAAACGCAGACAGTTGGGCTGAAAATAAAAACCCCCAGAGCTGTAAGCTGTAGCAAATAGCAAAAGAAAGACACATTAACTAATAATGTGGCTTTAACTCAGTGTTGATTAGTTTTAAGGATAACAAATGCGGCCTTAACATAATGTTGCTGTTGTAGCCTGCCACAGCAACATTTTTGTTGTTGGCTGTTACAGATGATGATGCTCTAAGGATAATAATGATGATAAAGACTGATACTTTTCTGTTCTTTTATTTTAAACAACAATGGCAAAGTTAATACAAGGACACTCTGCCATATAAAGCTTTACTGAAGGTATTCATCAGTATGTTACAACAAAAGAAAAAAGAGATTTTATAAAAAAACAACATTTTGAAAAAAGCAAAAAAAAAAAAGATTCGACATATTTTGTATTAAATAAGAAACGTGCTTGGCATTTTTGATAACATTTATTTTGTCTTTTGGTTCTTAACAAAACTTGCTAGAAGTGTTGTGCACAAACAACTTAACACTGTAAAAATTAAATTTTTAGTATTTTTGTTTTGAAAGTTTGTAACCAATGTTAGAAGACATTGTATGACCAAAAATTTTACCATTAAAACTTGTTTTTTTTTTGTCTTTTTCTTATTTTTTTCTTGGTTTATTTCATTAAGACAAAAAGTTACTTTAACTTTTTTTATCTGGTTTATGGCAAACTTTAAATACTGTTGATGTTTAAAGCAGTTAAGACAAAAGGCCAAAAAAGAAATTAAGAACTATGGCCAAAGAAGTAAGAGTTAAAAGAAGTTGTGTATTTTTGCTGAATTGACTCAGCTCTAACCACAGAGTTTTTTATTCCAAAAGAAATTTAAACTATAAAAAAGAAAATAAATAAATTCGGAAAGTTTTAAGGGATTAAGTAAGTAATACTAATGTTGGGCTATTTAAGTCTTTAAATATTTTGTAGTTGATGTAGAATCTAATCTAAAGTCTTAGTGAGTTATAGTCTATGGTCTGCGCAGACTATAACTATAGTCTTAGCAAATTGTAGTCGATTGTAAGAGTAAACTGTCGTCCATTGAAACTATAGTCAGAGCAAACTACACTCTAAGTATAGGCTGAACTTTCTATAGTGTGTGTGTGTGTGTGTGTGATAGAGAGTGAGATAAATAGAGCATTCAATAGTTTGAACAATCTTTCCAAACTATAGACAGTCTGAGCCGATTGTAGTCAGTCTGAGCGGACATATAGTATGAGCAGACCCCAAGAAATACTCTCAACAGATACTAGACTATAATCTGAGGGCATTTTAGTCTATAGTCTAAGAATAATCCAGTCTACAGTTTAAGCATATTAAAGTCTATAATTTGAAGATACAGCTGAGTATTTTATGAGGAGACTCTAATCTATAGTTTGTGTAGACTGATGACCCTGAACTCTATCATTTAAGCAGACTGTAGTCTATAGATTGAAGAGACTATAGTCTATAGACTAAGGAGACTATAGTCTATAGACTGATGAGTGTTCTATGAGGAGATTCTAGTATATAGATTGTGGAGACTGTGGTTCATAGAATGAGGACCCTGAACTTAATTTTAAGCAGACTATAGCCTACAGATTGAGGAAGCTATAGTCTATAGACTGAGGAGACTATAGTCTATAGACTGACGAGTATTCTATGAGGAGACTCTAGTCTATAGATTGTGGAGACTGTAGTTCATAGAATGATAATCCTGAACTCTATAATTTAAGCAGACTATAGTCTATAGACTGAGAAGTCTATAGTCCACAGACTGGGGAGACTATAGTCTATAAACTGACTAGTATTCTATGAGGAGACTTTAGTCTATAGATTGTGGAGACTGTAGTTCATAGAATGAGGACCCTGAACTTAATTTTAAGCAGGCTATAGTCAGTATAGACATATTGAGGAGACTATAGTCTATAAAATATAAAAAATATCAGTTTTTACTCAAAGCCTACTTTTAGGCTGAAAAATTAAAGCATACATTTAGGGGTAATTAAAAAAAAACACTCAAATTTATTTTATAATTTACAATAACAAATAAATTTGTTTTAATATACCATTTAAATATCTAATAATGTTCAAAACTTTATAACAAATAATTTTATCTAAAGTATTTATTCAATAAAAACTTTAAATTAACATTAACTAAAGCATACTTTTTGACAGATTTAAAGAAAAACTGTTTACTCAAAACTGAAATACTAAATCGAAACAAAAATTAAAACTTTAGTATTGAACAATAAAAATATGTATACATATTTAAGTAAAAAAAAATAATATTATTCACATTCATCAAGCAAAAAGTGTTTATATACCTGATTGTGAAAAGCATACTTTTAGGAGTCAAGGTTAAAAGAAATTTGTTGATTATAAATAAAAAAAATCTCTCATATTTTCTTAGTTTTCCATAAAAAAATTTAAATATTTGCTTTAATATATGTATATAAAAGCAACAACAACTAAAACATGGCTAAAAGAAAGAAAACTTTTAAAGTGAATTTTAAATAAAAATGTTTAACTAAAAAAACAACAAAACGAACAACACCAAACCCATAATTTTTCTTATATAAAATCAATGTAAATAGAATCGAATTTCCTAGAAGAAGAAAGAAAAAACTTAAAAGGCAAAACAAATTTCCAGCTAAGAAACAAATAAAGGCATATCTTCAAATATTTGGAATCATAAACACACCCACACCACAAATTAAAACTGATAACAAACAAATCAAAAGGATAAACACACGTGTCTAGGAAATTTGATGCAAAAAACCTAACCTTAACTTCATAGGGCTCTCAAGTAAAAAAAAAAAAAAACAAGCAGCATTTTAGGCGCTAAAAAGCACAAACTAGAAAAAACAATGAAGACCTTTAAAGCTTTAACACAAAAAAAGTTAACTGTTTTATTAGCCATCATATTTATAACACAAATCAATGCTGTAATCAGCCAACAGGAAGATGAATTACAAAATAACAGAGGCTGGAGATTGGCTAACAATACAACAAACATAGAGCCTTTAATGGTGATGGTGGTGGGAGATATAGAGGCCACAGCCATTAGCTCTACCAGCAAAACGCCCTATTTAACTAACAATATGGCTGATATTAACCAAAACCCTGATGAAAATGAAGACATGAATAACAACAACAACGATGAGCATGCTAATGACAACGATAATAATATAACACCTCAGGCTTATAAATATTATAGCAATCAGCAAGAAAAACATAAAACTCTAAATCAACTACAGCACAACAAACATAAAAATCATTTTCAACATGCTGGACAACAGCTGTCAGGCCATAACACCAAGCAACATCGTCATCATCAACATCATCCTACACAACATCATCAACGTCCACACAGATATCGATATCCTGCAAATCATTACTCTAGCAAATATCCTTTTGAAAAGCATAAACATCATGTTAAACATCATCGACAGCATCATCAACAACCTGAAGTGGAACAACAACCAAACCAACACCACCACCATAATCACCAAAGTCCTCATAGCAAAACGCAAATAAAACAAAAACTAAATCCCTCTTTGTCTTCATATGAAAATAAACAATTAACTATTGCTACGGAAATGCTAAAGCAACCAACTATAGAAAACTATAAAAAAGAAAAACTAACAACATCTACGTATGCGAAGCAGCAGCAGCATAATAGAAATATTGATGATTTTGTTAACATAACGCCAGAGGATTTTAATTATCAAAATGATGATGATTTTGAAATGTTGTGGCAAAATGATAATGAAAGAGAATCTTTAAATAGAAATCAAAATGTAAAACATTATAGTATTACAACACCAGCAACCAAGCATAACAATAAGCATGCAACCATGCTAACGCCGTATTACGATGATGATGGTGATGATGCAACAACTTTGTCATTACCTTTTGTCAACGTAGGTGATGATGATATCAGCATCAGCAGCACCACTAGCACGCCATATTCCTTTGCCAGTGATGCTCAAACATTTGCCGATGATTTCTTTTTTGATAATGACAATAAATTCCCTTATCTAACACATCTCTATCATCAGCCTCATCATACCCAATCCCAGGGTCAAGGAGCTCAAATGGGTGATTATTTTGCTGCCTCACCCCGTTCGGGTAGACATCGTGGTCGTGCTACTTCTCATATAATAGCCAGTCATAACCTTTTACATTCGGTGGGTTCGAAAAAATTTCGTTCTTTACCTGAAACCGATCAAGAATATCAAATGCAACGTTTACTTTATGCCCCGCCCACACAAAGACATTGGCCGGTTAAACGTGAGGCCGTAGTAGAGGGTGATGTTATATTAGGTGGCCTTATGATGGTGCATTCTAGAGAGGATACTATCACCTGTGGACCCATTATGCCGCAGGGTGGCATCCAGGCTTTAGAGGCCATGTTATATACTATTGATAGGATTAATGAAATGGATTTATTGCCTAATATTACTTTGGGTGCTCATATTTTAGATGACTGTGATAAGGATTCGTATGGTTTGGAAATGGCAGTGGATTTTATTAAAGGTAAGTAAGCACGGGGGAAGAGGGGACAGGGAAATGGGTAAATATTTTGGTACAAATTTTAAATCTAAAAACACAATAAACTATGGTCAATAATCTCATCAGAACATGCATATAGTCAGCTATAGTCTGAGTAGATTATTTCTTATAGTCTGAGTATACTATAGCCTATATTCTAAATAGACTATAGCGTCTAGTCTAAGTAGACTATAGCCTATAGTCTAACTAGACTTTAGTCTATAGTCTGGGCACACTATAGACTATATTCTATTTATAGTCTGAGTAGACAAAAGCCTATAGCCTGAATATACTATGGCCTATAATCTGAATAGACCATGGCCTATAGTCTGAGAAGACTATAAACTATAGTCTGAACAGATTGTAGCTTATAGTCTTAGTAGACTATTGCCTATAGTCTGAGTAGACTATAGCCTGTAGTCTGAGTAGACTATAGTCTATAGTCTGAGTAGACTACAGCCTATAGTCTGAGTAGACTATAGCCTATAGACCGTTCGACTATAGCCTATAGCCTGTGTAGACTAGAGCCTATAGTCTGAGTAGACTATAGTTTATGTAGATTATGGCTATAGTCTGAGTAGACTACAGCCTATAATCTGAGTAGACTATAGCCTATAGTCTGAGCACACTACAGTAGACTATAGCCTATAATCTGAATAGACTATGGCCTATAATCTGAATAGACCATGGCCTATAGTCTGGGAAGACTATAACCTATAGTCTGAGTAGATTGTAGCTTATAGTCTGAGTAGACTATAGTCTATAGTCTGAGTAGACTATAGCCTATAGTCTCAGTAGACTATATCCTATAGACCGTTAGACTATAGCCTATAGCCTGTGTAGACTATAGCCTATAGTCTGAGTAGAATATAGTCTATAGTCTAAGTAGACTATAGCATGTAGTCTTAGTAGACTATAACCTATATTCTGAGTAGACTATAGCCTATAATCTGAGAAGACTATAGCCTATAGTCTGAGTAGTCTATAGCCTATAGTCTGAGTAGACTATAGCCTATAGTCTGTGAAAACTATAGTCTATAGACTGAGTAGACTATAGCCTATAGTCTGAGTAGACTAAAGTGTATAGTCTGAGTAGATTATAGCGTATAGTCTTAGTAGACTATAGCGTATAGTCTGAGTACACTATAGCCTATAGTCTGAGTAGACTATTGCCAATAAACAGATAGTCTCTGCAAACTATAGTCCGTAGACTGTCGATGGTCTGTGCAGAACATTAGTCGATAGTCTGTGCAGACTATAGTCAATAGTCTGAGTAGGCTATGAGTAGTCAATAATCAGATTAGATAGTAGGCAATATAGAAGTAGTATTATTCGATGGTCTAAGTAGATTATAGTCTACAGTAGTTTACTTAAATAGTGTATTGTTCTAAGTCTGAAGTGGACTTCAATTTATAGTCTGAATAGACTAAATTGCATATTCTCAATAGACTATAGTTTATACACTCGGTCTGTGTAGTCCATGGACTTCTACGATTCTAAGAAATCGTATACAATTTTACAATTTAATTTTATTCCGTACTTTTCTAAGAAATAAAAATATATTTTATTTTCTTGAATGTGATTATTTTAACACTCTTATAATAAATATACTTATGTGTAAGTATTATTACAAATACAAAAATAAAGTTCTAAAGAAAACTTTTTAATTTAGTTTTCTATACATATAGCTTTTTTTATGAAATTTTTATAAGTTTTCCTAAAATACACACAAACTAACACGTGTGTAGGAAAAAAGAAAAGTTACAAAAACTCCAAAATTAAATTATATTATGAAATAGAACTGTATTAAAGTTGGTAACAAATAAAAAACTTTTATCATAAGTATATAGTCCACAATTTAAAGCAATAAAAATATATATTACTAAAATTATCAAACTAAAAACAGAACTGAAAGGAAAACGAACAAAATGGGAGTATAAAGAAAAAATTTCCTTTAACAAAATTTAACACTACAACTAAAGGGTGTAATAAATTATATATTCAATTTGTTGAGTAATAAATTTTCATTTAAGCAATTAACTACTTATATCATGTTTACTTAAGAAAATATTTCATGTTAATTTATTATTATGTAAGAAAAAAAAAATTACGTAAATTATTTTTTTTGGGCATTTAAGAAGAAATTATTAACCATCATATAGTGGTGTTATTTATCAACTTAAATACACACTAGTGTGTATGGTTTCTTGTTGGTTAAACAGATAATTTTCATAAAATGAAAATGAAATTGAAATTAAATGCACAGATTTTAGTAAAAGAGAGAGAGCATATCAAGGCAAAGCATACACAGAGATTTTTACCCATCCGCAAACATTGTTATATAAATAACTGTTTAAGGAGTGAGCTGAATGAGACAAGATTAGGATATGCTATACAACGATAGTGTAGAGTAAACATTGCTATTTAGTGGTTTAAAAGATACCAAAAAAGGCCCAAAAAAAGGTACCAAACTACAGTTTTTACCCGTTTACTACTAAAACGTACCAAAATTTCGCAAAACTACCAGACACCTGTCCGCTTTGCGAATAAACCAGAATAAGTGTAATAATTTTGTTGTATCTGTTTTAGTTTAGGAGTTATGAGGTTGCCGAATTTACGCGTTTTTACCCCTTTTAACCCGTAGAAAGTTAGATCCATTCCTATACTGAATAGAAGAAAGACAGACAAACAGCTTGACTAGGCTATAGTATGTAGTTTCAGTAGACTATAGCTACAGTTAAAGGAGATTATGATCTATAGTTTGGGATCCGAGTCTAAGAAAAATTCAGAAAATCTAAGCTGCTTCAACTTGTCATCGTCCTTATCCTTTTTTTTCTCTACCAAACAACTTACCACAAGTGACAAAAAAAAACCATGACATTCAACTCCTATGCTTATTGTTCAAGAACTGTACATTAGGGTGGTTGTAGTTTTAAAAATTTTATGATAGGCAAACAGTTGTAGAAATAAGCTTTCTAAGCAAAAATATCCTCTAGGATTTTGGTATATTTAGAGCCTCCCTAATAAGCAGTAGATCTGTTAGTATATTGATATACTATATATAAACTGGCAATATCAACCAGTAACAATAATATGATTGCTTATATGACATCAATTTAATTCAGTGATTTGGAAAATTATATTTGCTCTGCCTGTTATCCTGACTATATGTATATGCTTCTCTATAAGTATTTTCTATTTTATGTCATAAATTCATTCCAAAAATCTCTGTGTATGTGTGTGTGTAACTGTAGAGATACTTGCTTGTTAATAATAGTAAATATTTCTTTTATTTTTACATAAAATTTAACAAAATTAGTAGCAATAAATAACAAAGTAGACTATAGCCTATAGTCTGAGTAGGCAATAGCCTATAGTCTGAGTAGACTATAGCCTATAGTCCGAGTAGACTATAGCTTATAGTCCGAGTAGACTATAGCCTATAGTCCGAGTAGACTATAGCCTATAGTCCGAGTAGACTATATCCTATAGTCTGAGAAGACTATAGCCTATAATCTGAATAGACTATAGCCTATAGGCTGAGTAGACCATAGCCTATAGTCTGAGTAGACTATACCGTATAGTCTAAGTAGACTATAGCCTATAGTCTAAGTAGTCTGAGTAAACTTTAGCCTATACTCTAAGTAGACTATAGCCTATAGTTTGAGTAGACAATAGCCTATAGTCTGAGTATACTATAGTCCATAGTCTGGGTAGACTATAGCTTATAGTCCTATGTAAATTATAGCCTATAGTCCGAGTAGTTGATAATCTGAGTAGACTATAGTCGATAGTCTGAGTAGAATATAGTCAATAGTCTGAGTAGACTATAATTGAATATAGGAGTAGACAATAGTCAATAATCTGCATAGACTATAGTCGATAGTCTGAGTAGACTCTAGCCGATAGTCTGAGTAGAATCTTGTCGATAGTGTGAGCAGATTAAAGTCTATAGTCTGTGTAGACTATAGTTAGTAATGTGAGTCGACTATAGTCGATACTCTGAGCAGAATGTAGTAGTTAGACAGAGTAAACTGTGTTCGACAGACTGAGTAGACTACAGTCTATAGTCTGATTTTTTAGGTTTGTCAAGTTTTCTATTAAGAAATTTAGTTGTTTATAGCATTTTGAGTTGTAGTTTGTTCTCCAGAAACAATTACATTAAACTATAGACAAAAGTCTTCTCAGGTCTTTCACTATCATTTGTCAGGTTGTAGACAATAGTTACTGCGACTTAGACTTTAACTACAATGTTTTCAAATTATAATTTACTCCAACAATATTTTATTGCATTTTTTTTAAAAGAAAACTTTTATATTTCAATTAAAAATCTGAAGCAGCACTTATTAAAATACATTTATGAGCTTAAAAATTGAGTCTTTTATTTCTTAAATAACTCTTTGTTTGAATTGTTATGCATTTTATGGCAATTCCTGGTATTGTACTCACGCACACATACACACACACACATTGCCGGATATTTTTCTTTTTTTCATTTCACTTAATATTTCTTTCATTTCTTGATTTTCTTCAACTCAAAAAAAAAAAAAAAACTATATAACAAAAGAAAATGAATAATTTTTTTTAACTACAAATGCCTTTACTTTTTTTTAAATCCTTAGTTATGCATGTATATGTGAGGAGTACCACGTCTAAAGAGTAAGTTTTTTTTTATATTATTCAAGGTGACAAAAGAAAAACTGCTCCATTTCCTGTTGCAGACAAATATTTATATAGTTTTCTTTCCTGTCGTTTTTTTAGTAAGACTGGGAGTACTTTCTACTATTGTAGTGCCTATGCTATTGTTATGCAAATACAGATGCACAAGAAAAACATCTTCTGTTTCTTTAAGTTGTGTTTTATTGTTATTTCGTCAAAAAGTGCACAAAAATATTCAATGCAATGGGGACATTTTTTTAATAAATTAATGTAGTAAAGAAATTTAAAAACATAATTACTTTGTGTTATTACTATAGGTGAAGATATAAAGAAGCTGTTTCCTCTTTCTAGGCTTATTATAGTCTAGTTAGATTATAGGTTATAGTCTACTTAGGCTTTTGGCTAAAGTCTACTCAGACTATAGGCTATAGTCTACTTCGACTATAGGATATAGTCTTCTAAGACTATAGGCTATATTCTTCGCAGACTATTGGCTATATTCTTCTCAGACTATTGGATATATTCTACTCAGACTATTGTCTATAGTCTTTTCGGAGTATTGGCTATAGTCAACTCAGACTACATTCTATAGTCTACTCAAACTATAGGCTATAGTCTACTCAGACTGTAGGCTATAGTCTACTCAAACTATTGGTTATATTCTACTCAGATTATAGGCTATAGTTCGCTCCAACTATAGGCTATAGTCTTCTCAGACCATTAGCTATAGTCTCCTCAGACTATTAGATATAGTCTACTCAGACTATAGGCTTTAAAACAATAATAACTTTCTGAAAATTAAAATTTGTTAATACATTGAAACAACTAATTTGTGTGGTACAGTCGGGCGTATGATTGTTGTGAAATGCAAACAAAAAATAATCATACGTTTAGGTGACCATAAGTTTTAGCAAGAAGTAAACCTACACAGACAACAACTGTAAACTATGGATAATATTCCTCTCATATGAAAATAGAAAACTATATGTTCTGATAGTTTCTCATTGGTACCCAATAACAGAAGCATTTAAAGATTTTTAGTGATGTAAATGTACTTTATTATGATAATTTGATGAGAATCTTCTTGTATTCATTAGAATTCTAAAGTTTGTTTACAGTTAACTTCGCTAAGGGTAGCTTAACAGCCAGGGTATATTAGTAGGCTATAGTCTGCTGAAACTATAGTTTGTAGCCGGATCGAAGTATAGACTAAGTCTGCTCTAGCTAGGGACTTTACCCTACTATTTGCTTAGACTATACTCTACTATATGCTACTTTTTTTAACAGCACATATGTATATAAAAAAGTTCATTAAATATACATATTAGTATAATTTGTTCAACTAAGCATAATGAGATATACATTTAAACATATACTAAAATACTTTTTTTTGTTTTTTTTTTCAATTTAATGCTCAAATGCACAAACTTATTACGCATTAGAAAAAACTTAAACAGGAAATAAAAAACAGTTTATAAAATCCCCAATGCACAAGCAAAATAAAAATTTACGTAATAACTTTGTATAAGAGGGGGTTGTGGATATAATTTAATAGGATTTCCTGGTTTCCGTTAAACATGATTATATAATATTGATTAGAAAATAAGTAGTCAAATTTAAATTAAAATATGAAATGAGGTTTTATGCTACAGTAGACTAGATTAAGGATTTTAAGGCACTTTGGAAAACATTAGTTTACTCTAGAGGGTGTAGTAGAGTTAATAACACTCTGCTAAAGTAAAGTAAATTTACCTTTAAGTTTAGAGTAGAGTACACAGCACTTCTATATATAATTATAAATTACCTTGAAGTTTTTTTTAAGAACAATCAGTTTCATTTTGCTGCATAATTTTATTGACAATACTAACCTGCAAAAAAAAAAAGAACACAAAAATAAACAATCATTTTATTTAGTAAATAATAATTTGCATAATTATTTTTATAAATGTACATTAAAATTCATTTAATTAAACTAAAAATACATAATGCTAGGTTTGCAATTCAATTTAAATTCAATTTAAAAATAATGATAAATTTCTGAAAATTCAAATTTATTAAATACATTGAAACAACTCAATTATGTGGTACAGCCGGGCGTATGATTGTTGTTGAAATGCAAACAAAAAATAATCATACGTTTAGGTGACCATAAGTTTTAACAAGAAGTAAAATTTTGTAATTAAACTACTATAATAAACCCCTCAAAACTATGCTACATTGATATAAGCTTAGCATAGTAAACTGAATATTCAAAAGAAATTCATTAGAATTCTAAAGAATAAAATTGAAAATTTGAAATAACTTTGACAAATCCAAAGGAGCAAACAACTGTATTTTGTTTAAATCCTGTATAAATTTGTTCAGTTTCAGTTTTACTAACAACAATTTACTTTTATTTTCACAGGTTCCATTAGCAACATAGATGATGCTGAATATCATTGCAACAAGACTACTGTACGTAAAGTTATTTCTGGTGTAGTGGGTGCTGCCTCATCGGTTACTTCTATACAAGTGGCAAATTTACTCAGATTGTTTCGTATACCACAGGTGAGTGTTGCTTGGTTTTATTGAGAAATATAAAATTATCAAGAAATTTAAAAGATTTCAAAGGTAAAGAATATTTAAAACAGAATCATAAATTGTTTCAGTTTCCTGTTAAAATAATTTGCTGCACAATTGTAAGAATTTTTTTAGCTAGAATTTTTTCTAGAAAACTATTTCTAGAAAATTCTTACCAAATATCACTAATAAATCTAATTATTCTTAATAATTCAAAAAGTACGCCAAAGTTTATCTTGATAATAATGTTGATAAATAATTTATGGAAGCTTAAGCCATTTTCTAAAAGGCTTCATATATCAAGGCTAAGGTCAAGAGATGACCCATCATTAATGACTAATCTGGGTGTAAAAAGAGCCACTGAAGCTAAGGTAAAAAAACTCAAAACAAAATTTCAATGAAACTTTATATACATGGCCCTAAGATAATGCTCTATTTTTGGTGAGACCAAATAAGTCACATCTATTATTATAGGAAACCTTTACCGCACCCAACTGATTAATTTAAAGTAACCCTTGCCCAAAACATGAATAGAACTTATGGTCAATTATGAAGGCGTATTTAATTTTCCTATGAAAATTTGCGTTTTTAACTTAAAAGTCAATTTATCATTAAAAATTTTACTTAAATTTTCGTTTAAATTTCCACTCAAAATTTGAGTGTGTTTCTTTAATAAGAAATGTTTCATTAAAATATAAGGTTTTCACTAAAAGTAGCTTTTTCCCTAAAAATATGATTTTTTACTAAAAATTTAGCTTTTTCTTAAAAATTTGAATGTTTACTAAAAATTCCATTTTTCGCAAAATATTCGATTTTTAACTGGAAATAAAACTTTTTGCTAAAAATTCGATTTGACCCTAAAAATTAATTTTTTCACTAATGATGTAATTTTTCTTAAAAAATTTTACTTTTCCTGAAAAAATTAATTTTCCATAAATTTTTCACAAAAAAAATTAACGAAATTTTCAATAATGATGTGATGTTTCCTAGTTAGTTAGTTAGTTAGTAGTTAGTTAGTTAGTAGTTAGTTAGTTAGTAGTTAGTTAGTTAGTTAGTTTAGTTAGTTAGTTAGTTAGTTAGTAGTTAGTTAGTTAGTAGTTAGTTAGTTAGTTAGTTAGTTAGTTAGTTAGTTAGTTAGTTAGTAGTTAGTTAGTTAGTAGTTAGTAGTAGTTAGTTAGTTAGTTAGTTAGTTAGTTAGTAGTTAGTTAGTTAGTTAGTTAGTAGTTAGTTAGTAGTTAGTTAGTTAGTAGTTAGTTAGTTAGTAGTTAGTTAGTTAGTTAGTTTAGTTAGTAGTTAGTTAGTTAGTTAGTTAGTTAGTTAGTTAGTAGTTTAGTTAGTAGTTAGTTAGTTAGTTAGTTAGTTAGTAGTTAGTTAGTTAGTTAGTAGTTAGTTAGTTAGTAGTTAGTTAGTTAGTTAGTTAGTTAGTTAGTAGTTAGTAGTTAGTTAGTTAGTTAGTTAGTAGTTAGTTAGTAGTTAGTTAGTTAGTTAGTTAGTTAGTTAGTAGTTAGTTAGTTAGTTAGTTAGTTAGTTAGTTAGTTAGTTAGTTAGTTAGTTAGTTAGTTAGTTAGTTAGTTAGTTAGTTAGTTAGTTAGTAGTTAGTTAGTTGTTAGTTAGTAGTTAGTTAGTTAGTTAGTTAGTTAGTTAGTTAGTTAGTTAGTTAGTTAGTTAGTTAGTTAGTTAGTAGTTAGTTAGTTAGTTAGTTAGTTAGTTAGTTAGTTAGTTAGTTAGTAGTTAGTTAGTTAGTTAGTTAGTTAGTTAGTTAGTTAGTTAGTTAGTTAGTAGTTAGTTAGTTAGGTAGTTAGTTAGTTAGTTAGTTAGTTAGTTAGTTAGTTAGTTAGTTAGTTAGTTAGTTAGTTAGTTAGTTAGTTAGTTAGTTAGTTAGTTAGTTAGTTAGTTAGAGTAGTAGTTAGTTAGTTAGTTAGTTAGTTAGTTAGTAGTTAGTTAGTTAGTTAGTTAGTTAGTTAGTTAGTTAGTTAGTTAGTTAGTTAGTTAGTTAGTTAGTTAGTTAGTTAGTAGTTGTTAGTTAGTTAGTTAGTTAGTTAGTTAGTTAGTAGTTAGTTAGTAGTAGTTTAGTTAGTTAGTTAGTAGTTAGTTAGTTAGTTAGTTAGTTAGTTAGTTAGTTAGTTAGTAGTTAGTTAGTTAGTTAGTTAGTTAGTTAGTTAGTTAGTTAGTTAGTTAGTTAGTTAGTTAGTTAGTTAGTTAGTTAGTTAGTTAGTTAGTTAGTTAGTTAGTTAGTTAGTTACTTATTTGGTCTATACAGTAATATTCTAATCTTATGTTTTCCCTTAAATGTCTGTCCAGAGCTGTCATTGAAAAATGTAATTTTAATTATTTCCTTTTATCTATTTCCTTTTGCAAAGTGTCACCAACATTTTATGGTTTACCACAACAAAATAACTTGTTAATGAGAACTGCATTTTCAGCACATTTGCTCCATATTATTCTCATGCTTAATAGAACATATATTTGTCCTTCTCAAGATTTACATGAAACTCATTTGATACTTTAACTATTTCAAGTACTTTCAAATTAATAGTTTTTTTTACATTTATTGCAAATAAATTTTCATTCTATTGTTCATCTCACTCTAGATAACTTATTTAAATTTATCACTTACTTTTCCACTTTCAACATGATGGTGAAAATAACTTAATTTCATTGCTTTTAAATAGAAATATTTTATTTTATCGGGAATTTTTAGTTTTCTTTTTTTTTTTTTTTTCTTGTTCATCTTGCTGATGCAACTGCATTTTAAGTAGAAAAAACATACACCCTCTGAAAATTTATTTGCCACACAGCTGTTGTATGTTATCTCTAGAATAAATACTATTGATGTGACCTTTTTTCGTTTTGCTCGAATGTGTGTTGCAATATGGTATGTTGTAAAAAAGAAATAATGTTAATATAAATTTGTTTTTGTGCAGCATCACAATATACCGCAAAAAAAAACTGAAAAAAATATATAAAATTTTTATGGGAAAAAAGACCAAAAAAATGGAGGGTGTTGAATTTCAAATTATATAAGTATAATGAAATAAAATAAAATTATACCATGTATGTACGTATCAATTGAAATCTACAATGAAAATGTTATAGTGTCACGAACGTTTAGGAAAAAATTGAAATCAAAGCAAATTAAATACATATGTTTTTATGGAAGTTGAATGTCATTTTTTTTACAACAAATACAAATTCTAGGTATATACATGAGTAAAGTTTTAATACGCAAACGGTTGTTAGTGGCAACATTCAAATACACATACATACACTTAACAAGTAAGACAAACGATTGTCATTGATATGGCAGGCAGTTCGATTGTAGTATTTAATTAAACTGAGCCACTGTGCTGAATATAACCTTTGTGCTGCAAGTACGTTTTCATACTTTCAACGAGGGTTGTAAATATGACAAATGTTCCATTTGTCCATTTGTATTCAATAAAACAAAGGCAATATAACAAAGAAATAGAAAAAACATTTCGAGACTGGAATTGTTAACGAGCAGTATCTCTGGGGTGTAACTAATCTTATAAAAATAAGAACTAGCAAAAAAATATGCCATAAAATTGTAGTTATTTTGTGCAGAAAAATCATAATTTCTTGCAACATAATAGTTCAAGGGGGGTGGTATGAGTAATAAAAAAAAATATTTAATTAAATGTTAATCATACGCAAGTTGACATTTAACAAGTAATATAACGACCAATAAAAATAAACCATAATAAAATTCTTTAACAAAAAAATCTCTCAGTATTTAACTGGAAACAAAATGTTCTACTAAACACGTGCAGTTGTTGGAAAGAAAAAAAAATTCTCATTTGTTTAATAATGTAAAAAATAACAATTCTTCTTAAATCATTATTTCCTTGAAATTCCTCAACAATACTTTCTTTTCACACATTCATTAAATCCAGATTTAACTACAGAAAAATTCCACCATTATCTTTAGGTTGCCATGGTTTGGCATGATATAAATATTCTTTACAACATTTATACGATTTTTCCTTCCTGTTTCATGGTTTTCTTTTCATTATTACTTTTTACCTGGTTTGTAATTAAAAAGCATCATCATGTTTGGTATTACTTTTGTATTCTAACAATACGTTGGTATTTTCAATTATTCATCTTACGTTTTCTTTCTGCGAGATTCTTTTCTCAAATCTTATACAATCTGTTCAGATTGTATTCTTTTATTAAAAAAAAATAGCAACTAATTGGCAAGCAAATGCGCCAAATGCTCTATTTACAATCCGCAATCAATTGGTATTTCAATAATTTATAACAAGTTCAACATTACTATTCCAACGCCATTACTCTACTTGCTAATTGTATTGATTGCTATTTATAACAGAAATCCATCAGAGATGTAGTAGGTTTTTTTTTCACAAATTCTTTGGCCATTTAGAGTAATTAAGTAATTATCTATGGCATGTTTGCCTTAGGCTTTTATGAACATGAAAGGAACTGCAGTAAATTGAAATTTTGATTAACATACTTATGTAAATCTGTTTGGCAGTATTTCTATAAGAATTTTAACAATTTCAATTTGCAGAAATTCCTTTTGAAAGTTATTATATGCATGAAAATTGTTTTATATTTATTTGTTCATAATATAATACATTTAAATAGTTTAATTCACAATAATAAATAAGAGCTTAAAAGGGGTATAATTTGCTCCATGTTATGTATTTCAAATGTATTTATTTGCAGGCTTCATAAAAAAGCTAAACATTTTACAATAGAATAACGACAGCTGCAATAAATGGCTTGAATGGTATTATAAATTTAATTAAATGGTATATTTTTAACAAAAGGCTTTGCGTATTTTCCATTTTTTTAACAATTCAATGTATTTGTACTTAATATCACGGCGAAACACTTAACTACTGGAACAGAAAATTTAAAAAAAGTTAGAGAAAAAGTATGGGAGAAGAGTAGGATAGCGATAGGATAGACGAACGAAACTAAACAACGAACTAAAACTAAAA